AAATGATCTAAAATTGATGGCAAGGAGGGCATAGGATGTTTGGGGTCTCAATAAGGGCAATGTAGCCGAGAATAATTACCAAAACCTAAATGAAGGCCGAACATGACAGTACGATGGGAAGTAGAGGAAAGAGCTGGGAGGCAAAGGACATTTATAGAGGTCTACATAGAGGCATGTGCATATGTCAATACATTTATATACAATGACAGGGGAATAGATCTATGTACATACATTTATTTATAAAGTATTACGGTACTGGATGGACATTGGGCCTCCACTCAAGTATTCCCTCAAAGCAGGATACTGATCTTTATGCATGCTATTTCATTTTTGTCAACTTCCAATTTTTCAGATCCATACTTTGTACATTCATGTTCCTATTATTAACAGATACGTGTGGCTGTTGCTTCTCCTTCTGAGTCATGCCCTATCAGCAAATGAAGCTTCATCTACATCACTAAGGTCAACTCAAGTTATATTTTAAATGCTTTCCAAACTGACTATATCAGACAATGTTCCTCTGCTACTCAGAAGGTTTTTATGTAGCTGATCCCTCACCTCAGAATGGACCACCTCTCCCTCTTCCTAGTCCATCCCTAATCTGAGCACTCTACTGAACCCTGTTTACCATGAAAGATCCTGCTGGTATGTGAAATACCTGTGGAATAGCTTCCAGCATCAAGCAACTCACCAGAACATGACAAACCGACAGACAAATGGTGGACCCATTCCACTGAGAATGAAATAACGTCTCATAGCAGTTATGACCTTCATCTTTCTGACGGCTAATGATATTGAGCATCTTTTCATTTGATTGTTGCCATTTTAATATCCTCTTTAGTGAATGCCTGTTCAACTATGTACCCATTTTTTTCATTGTTATTTGTCTTTTTGGTGTTCAGTAACAGTTATAAATAAAAACAGGTTACTCTACTCATCAAATATAGGTTTCTGAATATATTCTCCCAGTCTGTAGCTTGTCTTTTCATATTTTTGGTAAAGTTTTTGTATAAATAAACTACATATTTTTAAATTAACATTATCAATGTAATATAGAAACATAAATACTAGGCGACATAGGTCTTGGTAACTCATAATATTTTGATATGGAACGCTATCTCTTGTTAGTTAAAAACATAAAGGAGATAGCTTACAGACCAATATGTATAGTTTGAATCCACTGAAGTGAAAAACAGAAATTTGCAAATTACTAAATATTTACCTTGATGTACATAGAAGAATACATACTAATTTATGAACAAGGGTTATCTCTGGAAGGTGTGATTACAGAGTAGAAAACTATTATACTTTATGCTCTTTTAGATTGAAATATAAAAGTATCTCTTTCTCTTCACTGCACTTTCTAAAAAGAACAGCTCATTTAGAACAATGAACATAAATATTTTTAGAACAATGAACATAGTTTCTTTGATAATGAAAAGGCAAATCCATTTTCAAAATCTGCCGATAGACTTTTTGTTCCCCTTGGCAGCCCTGGTGGCAGAGTGGATTACACTTTGGTCTGCTAACCTCAAGGTCAGCAATTTGAACTCGTCTGCCACTTGGAGAAAGATAAAGCTTTCTATTCCCATAAGAGTTAAAGCCCAGAACTGATGGGAGACAGTCATAAGGGTCAGTGGACAGACCTGGAATTATCTGCTTTTTCATTTGGGGGGAAGGAGAGGATTTTTGCTAGGTTTCCCACCCCCTTTTTATTCAATCTTTCATGGGGTTTTCTATTTTGTTTTGTTTTGATTCCGTTATTGTTGTTTTGCCTACCAATATCAGATAGGCATGGGAAGCAAGTCCAAGGAGAAAGCAATGGAATCGACAGTTCCAGAGGGGCTTGGGGACAGCAGGAGGCTGGAGAAGGGAGCAGTGAACAAACAATGCCACAGACAGGGGAACAACTAGGGAATTAAAAACAACAATGAGGAGGACGTAGAGATGCTGGGGGTGTTGGAGCAATAGCAATCTAGCTGAGAGAAATTACTAAAAGGCAGGAGAAGGATGAGCATGATAGTAGGGTGTGATGGTAAAAGGAAACAGGAAAGATCTAGGAAACAAAGCTATGGATAGAGGTATACACATAGGTGTGCATTATGTAAATATATGAATTCATGAAAACAGATGTATTGGTCTATGTACACATATTTATATAGCAATACATTGAGGAAGTGGACAGACTTTGGACCTCTGCTCAAAACCTGCCTTAACTCAAGAATACTTTGTTGTAACAACCTGGCATTCTGTGATGCTTACCCTCCTGGCAAAATCACTGAAGACAAAATGGGTGCATAATTAAACGTGGTGAAAAAAGCTGATGGTTCCAGGCTATCAAAAGATATAGCATTTGGGGTCTTAAAGATTTGAAGTTAAACAAGTGGCCATCTAACAGAGAAGCAACAGGCCCACAGGAAATAAGCATACCAGCCTGCTATTGTTATAAGATCCCCCAATAAAATCTTTAAAAAAACAAAAACAAGAGTTAAGGCCTCAGAAACCCACAGGTTTAGTTCTATCCTGCCTGATAAGGTCAGTCAGAGTCAGAATTGATTTGATGGCACTAAGTTTAAATGTTGTGGGAGCCCTTGAGGAACTTCTTTTCTTCTTCAAAACACAGGGATTATAAAACTTTTTTACCACAGATGTTTCTCTGGAAACTTCCCAAGTGTAACTCCTTATTTTGACTAAAATAATCCATTTGGGCATAAAGCTTATCCCATCTAGTAGCTTATGAGTTTTTCTCAAATTGTCACCAATGTTTAATTTATTAGCAGGCTAACTTGTTTCAAAATAAGTTTAGTTAGGTTGTTTGTCTTTATAACATTAAAGGACACAGACAATCATGCAATTAATACTCAAGTACTTATCATGGAGCTAATCATGCTTGGCAAACCCATACCTCATCACTTCTGATCGTGGTAATCTGCTGTACAATTCCATCATATCCACTACCGATGCTGTTTCCCATCCACATGACAGGAGCCGTTCTTTCTAGAAAGCGCAGTGAAGAGACAGAGAAAAGAATATCAGGGTCATGTCACAGAGATCGAAGACATGCTTAAAGCACAGGAGGACTTTTAGATTACCCCTTTCTCAAGAGTCCATTCTGGCCCTTGTCAGCTAAAACTCACTAAAGCACATTTAAAAAAATATAGAAAGCACTTTTCTATAGTAACAATTCTCTTAAGTGGTACAATAGTAACATGACATAACACTTGTAAAATTTAAATGAAGTTGAAAGTATCTCTTCAGTAAGTAAAGGGCATTTGAAAAGAAAGGGGGCTGTCATAGATCAAGAGGTTTAATCATATATGATCTGTAGAACATGCTTAGTTCCTGATTCAAACATATCAATTATAAAATTATTATTTTAAAAATAATTGGGGAAACTGGACATAGACTGGGTATCGGGTGCTATTGAGGAGTTATGGTCAATTGGTATAGTATGAAAGGTATGAAAATGAAAGCCATTCATTTATGAACACCATTCTCTTGAAGAGAAAGTCCTTATTGGCTCAGCATCCATAGTGAAGCACTTTAATGTTCTACCTGGGGTTTGCTTTAAAATATTCGAACATCAAAAGTATTTTTGAAGGGATTCTCTGTATTTTTAGATATGATAGAAATTTTTAAAATTATTAATAAACCATTTTATTTGGGGTTCTTACAGCTCTTATAACAATCCATATATCTATTGTATCAAACACATTTGTACATATGTTGCCAACATCATTTTCCTAACATTTTCTTTCTGATTGACCCTTTGATATCAGCTCCTCTTTTTTCCCCTCCCTTTCCCACCCTCCTACCCTGGTGAACCCCTGATAAATTATAAATTATTATTATTTTCATATCTTATACCATCCGCTGTCTCCCTTTACCCATGTTTCTGTTGTTCATCCCTCATTGTAGTTGGTTCCCCATTTCTCACTTTCTCTCCCCACCCCTGCCTTCCCTCTACCTTCATGGTATCGCTACTCCCATTACTGTTCCTGAGGGGTTTATCTGTCCTATATTCCATGTGTCGAGAGCTCTTATCTGTACCATGTACATGGCTCTGGTCTAATCTGATCTGTAAGGTTGAACTGGATAGAATATTTGAATTGTAAAAACAGTTAAAATAATATACAGAAATATAACTTTGTATTTTACAGATCCAGATGGCAAAACAGGGCTTAGATTTTCCTAGCACTAGCCCTGGTGGCATAGTGGTTACACACTGGGCTGTTAACTATAAGATCAGCAGTTTGAAACCACCAGCTGCTCCCCAAGAAAAAGATGGGACTTTCTGCTCCCATAAAGAGTTACACTCTCGGAAATGCACAGGGGCAGTTCTACCACCATGAGTCAACATCAACTTGATGGCAGTAAGTTTGGATTTTGGATTTTTAGAGCCTTGCTGGTAGCGCCACAAGGTCAGCAGTTCAAAACCACCAGCTGATCCTCAGGAGAAAGGCGAGGCTTTCTACTCCTGTGAAGAGTTACAATCTCAGAAACCCACAGTTCTACCCTGTCCTATAGGGTTGCTAGGAGTCCAGAATTAACTCAATGACAGAGAGTGAGTGAGTGAACTAGTGACCCACAGACCCCTGGTGCCTTTGTAGTCGAGTATTTTTGATGGGAAAATGTCCTTCAATGTTTGACTAATGGTGCACGAACACCCGAGTCTCTGCTTTCTGACCTGTGAGTCCAAAGACTTGCACATTTCCACTCCGGCCAGGTCACACTGTCGTCTTCGCAGATTTTCAATCATGATCTGCCCGAACCTGTCACCCATGTTCACCTGGAAGGACAAGAGGAGTCTGGGCATCTCTGTAAAGGTTTGTTGCTTCACGTTTGCAATTTTTTGTTAACTTTGTTTTTAACCAATCAAGGCTAATATTTGTTAATACTTAATAGAGGTAAAGCAATGAGGAACAAGCACTCATACATACTGCTGGTGGGAACAGAAACTGGTACAGCCCCTTGAAGAGTAATTAGGCAGTATGCTTCCACTGTAAAGGCTCAACCTGAGAGCAAGTAAGCCCACTAAGAGCAAATAAACCTACAGATGTACTCCAGTGGCTTTCAAAGATATCTCAATATACAGTAGCGGTGAAGCCATCAACACCTTACCTAATGCCCCTATTTTAGCTCTTGTTTCTGTAAACTCAGAGTAGTAGTGCCTACACTTTTTTTTTACTATTGTGATAATAAAAGAATGCAATATACATCTATATCATGGAATAGTGCCTGGTGTATATTAAGCAAATCTACCAATCTGCTATGAGGTCACTGTCCATTACAGCCATGCAGCAGGACTAAAGACTAAGGCTCAGTTTAAGGGACAATTAAACAGAAGAAAGGAGAATGTGAACCAAGCACAGCATGGCACATGCACAGACAACAGGACCATGGCAGGCCAGGGGGGAAAGGAGGGAGATCGGAAGACCAAGGTCACCCCTCGTTCGGCACATAATGCTATGGCAAATGACTACATGAAAGCAAGTCCCTTTATTGATCGTACCTGCAATTAAAAAATGTTTTAAATTTTAAATCAATAAAACTAAAACAAAAAATCCAGTGATGATCAACATCAACTCTGTCCATAAATCTCCATAATAAATAATCCATGCAGGTAAATATGACTATCCTCTCTTACAAACAAGGAATTAATATGTAATACTTAACACTCAGGTGCTGCTATCAACGCTTGTGCATAAATTAACTCATTTACTCCTCAAAACAATCTTATGATGTAGGAACTGTTATTATCCTCATTCTTCAAGTGAGGAAATGGGCACAGAGAGGTTAGTAACTTGTGTAGGTCACATAGACAGGGAGTTCGTCCCCACAGCAAACCACTGAGAAAGGCTGCCTCGGGTCACATTGCCAATAATAATGCTGGGGTCTCTCTGTGCCTTGGATTGCTCTTTTTAAAAAATACAACATTGCATAGTTCTGATTCACAGGAATAGGATTCCATAGAATTGATGCCTTTGAACTATGGTGCTGGTGAGGACTACTGAAAGTGCCATGGACAGCCACAAACCCCACATAAACCTGTCTCAGAAGGAGGACAGCCAGAGCGTTCCTAAAAGCAAGGATACTGAGTGCGACTCAAAGGGCGTGACGTGTGGTGACATGGAAGAGCAGTGACAAAGAGGAAGACCCTAGACAGGATGGAGGGACACAGTGGCTGCAACAAGGGGCTCAAGCAGAGCCACTGTGAAGATGGGGAAGGACAGGGCAGTGTGTCCTTCTGTTGTACACAGGGTCGCTATGAGCCAGGACTGACTCACTGGCCCCTAACAACAACAACAACATTCAAACCCAAGATAGCCAATGCCAACGCTCTTAATCAGAACTTTTTCTGCACTAGATCACAAGAAGCAAATAGGCAGTAAACAGACCAAGCCCAGGGTTTTTAGAAATTAGAAATGTTACATAATCTGCTTTTTAACTTCTCTTAAAAACTGGGAATTTTGGCAACTCCAGGCCACATCCCAACAATTGGTTGGATCTGAGTCTTGGCTACAGCCATGAAATGGGACGTTGGTGCTCTTGTTCACCATAGTCCCCACCACTCTACACTTGGAGAAGTTCTGCTACCGCCTTTGGCCAACCCTATGCTTCCAGGGAGTAAATGACAGGCCACCTAGGTGGTACCATTAAGTGCTACAGTTCAACCACAGGTACATTGGAAGGCAGGCCTGGTGATCTACTTCACAAAAGTCACAGCTATGGACAACCCTGTGGAGAACAGTTCTCCGGGGCCACACCGTGGTGTTGTCATGAGTTGGAATCAATACCCTGGCACCGGGTTTAGGTTTTTCCATTTGACACTAGGACAGGTCAAAACCTCTCCAGCGAGACCTGTGTCTTTACAGACATCGCAATGATGAAATAAGGACACAAAAAACTTTTATAAAGACTAAGGTAGATGTCTGCAAAAAGTCAAAAACGGAAGGACATAAAGATGGTGGGAGTAGATTAAAAAAGGAGAATGGCTGCAGGCAGAGGGTGCAAAGATAGGGGCAGTGACCAGTAGAGCCCTGGGCAGCACTCACACTCCTCGTGCTTCCTCCTACCTGCTCGTAGTTGATGAACATTGCATTATCAAAGCTGTTGGCTGCCCACTTCAGGAGGTTTGCAGACTGCTCTGGAGTCATGTAAATCAGCACGCATTCAGTTATGAGGAGTGTTGGCAATCTTAAGAGAAGAAAAAAGGCACATACTTTTTAAAAAAAATCAAATCATGAGCCTCTAATTATGCATGCGTTGCAGTATGGCAGGGCTGAGGAAGCTAGAAGAACTGAGCGAGGACATCACCAATCAATACAGTAGTAATACGCGTGTCTTACCATCATGACCAAAGTTCCATGCGCTATACAAAAGTTAGTAATAAACCATGATGTATGTTTTTGTCACAACCTTACATTCACACTGTGGCAATGAGATACTAGAGTTCCTCCCATTCAGGAGGTGCCCTCTATTTCCCTACCCTGGAATCAGGGTTGGTCATGTGATTTGCTTTGGCAAAGGGTCCATAGCAAATGAGGTGCAAGCAGGGGTGGCAAAACACTTGCCTTTGATCTCCTGCTGCACATGAAGGGATGAGATGACTGCGGGAAGGAGCCACGCCCATCCGCTACAGGATGAGAGCACATGAATGAGAATGAGCTTCCCAGGAGATAATCGGTCCCCAGGTGTCCATACGAATGAATTATTCACATGAACTCTAGCCAATGGTAGTTGAACTTGGCTCTAAGCAGAGGAACCACCCAATTGAGTGTAAATTATCAGCCCACAGAATTTTGAGCTACTAAATCGAGTTGTTGCCACTAAGTTTGGAGTGGTTTGTTACACATCAAAGGCTAACTCGTACAATGTGGAAATCTTGATAATCATTTACCAGAATCAATTTTTATAAGCCTTCTGAATTGAGAATTGAATACAATAAAGTCTCAATTAATTTCAATAAATTACACTAATTAACAGATTCAAAATAATCACAAAATAGGTCAAAGAAAAGGCAACAAATTCCTGTAGAAATATCTAAAAGTCTATTTTTAAAAAATAATTTTATTGGCATATACATATCATGCCATTTAATCATTCAATTGTGTTAAGAGAATGTATGCAATCATTGCCACAATCAATTTCAGAAGTTTCTTCCTGTACTCATTGTTAGCTCCCATTTCATCCTTCCTTGCCGTGCCCCTAGGCAATTATCAATCCAGCTACGTTTGCTATAGATCTCCCTATCCTGCATTTCAAAAACAGAAAATCATACGAAATGTAAACAGGAAGCAAACAAACAACCACAAACATGGTAAATCTCATTAGGTCCCCTTCTCCTGGAGCCGCTGTCTTAAACAGACCTTTTTTAAAAAAAGGGACCTAGGCGGGGCCGCGGTCCCAGCTGCAGAGCGCCGCCTCGCCGTCTGCACCATCCATGGGCAGCGGCGAGAGGCAAGATGACGGATTACGGCGAGGAGCAGCGCAACGAGCTGGAGGCTCGGGAGTCCACCTACCCCGACTCCTTCACAGATTTACCAGAAACCCCACCCGGTTTCACCATTACTGAGACATCGGAGGCCGGGGAAAGTAACAACACTGTCCAGAGCACGGTCAAGTCTACACACCGTGAAAAATACCCAGATGATGCTCCTCGTTACGAAATATTCTCACAGGAATATCTGGCAGAAAATGACTTTTCAGACATTTTAAAATTACTAGCATTACAGACAGAAGAAAACCTTGGCATGGTAATGATCTCTACTCTAGTATCAGCTGTGCAAGAAAAATTAAATGAAATAGTAGATCAAATAAAAAGTAGAAGAAAAGAAACAGAAAGAAAAAGAAGCAGAAGAAGCCGAAAAACAACTATTTCATGGCACTCCTGTTGCAATCGAGAATGTCTTAAGTTGGAAGGCCAAATTTGAAGCAGAACTCTTGCAAATGAAAAAGAAACGAATGAAAGAGGAGGAGCCAGCAGGAAAAAATTAATTAAGCAGGAAACAACTATTTGAAACAGATCATAATCTTGACACATCTGATATCCAATTCTTGAAAGATGCTGGAAATAATGTGGATGTCGCTGAGTCTTTGTTCCAGGAAATGGATGATTTGGAGCGCGAAGATGATGAGGACGATCCAGACTCTCCTCCTGCTGATCCAGAGTGACTCAGCCAACTGAAGGACGGCCCTCTGCAGAGGTGCGCCGGCCACCGCACCTGTGCTGTGCCAGAGGGCTGTGCTTTTCCTTCCTGCTTTCTAAGAAAATCCCCTTTCAGGAGAATATGCTTCTGATCACTTTCATCGCTGAACTTAATAAACTGACTATGAAATTTAAAAAAAATAAAAAAAAAGAGGGGCCTAATGAGATTTAAGACAAGTGGATTACTAAGAAAACTTGTCTGGTGTCATCCATTGATCTTAAGAGTTATGTTTAAACATTAAGAGAAAACAAACAAAAAACCCTCATGCATATGTGAACTAGAACCCTGGAAGCAATTCCTTTTTACTAACCCTCACATATGTATATCTTTATATACGTATATATCCACTTGCGGGGAGGGAGCGGGAAAAGTGAGGAGCTGATGCCAGGGGCTTAAGTTGAGAGCAGATGTTTTGAAAATGATGAGGGCAATGAATGTACAAATGTGCTTTACACAATTGATGTGTGTATGGATTGTGATAAGAGTTGTATGAGCCCCTAATAAAATGATTTTAAAAATTGAATGATATATAAAGTATATGCCAATAAGCTATTTTTAAAATATTTTCACAAATGAAAATAAAAAGAAAACAACAGCAACAACCTTCAGTATGGATAATAAATCAATGCAAAGAGAAAACACCACCTAACAATTGGATCAATACACATCATGATAAATGAAGAAATGACTGGCATGTTCAGGGATTTCATTTTATTTGCAACCACAATCAATGTTCACGCCAGCAGCAGTCAAGAAATCTAATGATGCATCACACTAGGTAAATCTGCTGCATGAGACCTTTGGAAAGTGCAGAGATGCCGTTCTGAGATCTTCAGTGGACCTGAGGCAAGCTGTAGCAGTTGCAACCACCTCATAGGCATGTGAGAGCTGAACGATGTGGAAGGAAGACTAGGGAATGAAAGCAGTAAAGGTCTGTGCTGGAGAAGAATACTGAAAGTCCTGTGGACTGCTAGAAGAACAAATACATTTGTCCTAGAAAGAAGTACAGATGATACTTCTCAGAACCAAGGATGCAGAGACCTCCTCTCACATGCTGTGCACACATTACCAGGAAGGACCTCTTGGAAAAGGACAACAGTCTTGGTAAAGCAGAGAGCCAATGAAAGTGAGGATGACCCTCAACATGTGGACTGACACGCCGGCTGCAGGAACGGCTCAAACGTAACAGTAATTGTGAAGCTGGCAGAGCCGGGCAGTGCTTCAATCAGTTGTACAGTGTCACCGAAAACTGAAACCGACTCGATGGCACTGAACAACCCTTTCTTTAGACATTGCAGCTATATATTTTATGCTATAACTCGCTTCTCTCAAACTTCATGTTCATGAAATTAGTCATCAGTGTGTACAACAGAGAGCAGCACGGTGATTCTAACAGGAAAACAAGCTTGAGAAACACAGCTAGATATTTTCAGAGAACTCCTGTACACAGCAATGAGATGAGGGAACATCACAGTGAAAGCTCGAATACAAGATCAGATCACAGTTCTAGTTCCAATGGTCCTTGTGTCATAACAACAGGAAGTTGCAACTGCATAAAAGGTTAACAAAATCTCACTGTGCATTCATGTGGCACTTTTTCAGCTTCTCTTCCAATTCACATAAATCTCGCAGATCTGCTCCTATAATGGCGTATCTCTTTGAATTCAGCATGTGTCCATCTGCAGATGCAAGAAGATGAGAAATATTGTAACTTTGGTGAATACGGCCGCTCCAAAAATCAAACTAACTAGATTCTTTCTATCCCATTAAAAACTATACGCTTATTGTTATAAATAGCAAACCTTCCAAAGGTAACTGAATACTTTGCCAGGTAACAGTCTACCCATTTCTTGACAGAGCTTAAGTAAGCTAGCTTATATGCTTACACTTGTACCTGAGTACACACAACACATGCATTCATGCTCCCATTCTCTCCTGCTAGCCCTTTCTTTCTCTGTTTCCCTTTTCTTCTAAAGTGGTTGATTAGATCCTAATATGGAGTTGAGTTCAGTACCACAACTGCAGGGCAAAGGCCGTGGAAACCCTACAGAGCAGTTCTACTCTGTCCTACTGTGAGTTGTAATGCATTCAATGGCAGAGGGGTGTTATCTGCTCTACTGTGAAAGAACACAAATAATGATTTCTGAATGTCCAACTGCATCCTTAAAAATAATATAGAGAGAGATACTAAAAGTTTATGAGTTTAGTATGAAACAACAAATCAAAACAAAAACAGAATTTAAAACGTGTTTCCCTAGTGTGTAGACCTCAGAATTAGAATCTAAATTCAGCAGAGTCAATTATTTCCAGTGGGAGCACATGATTAACAAGTGCTGGCACTGTCACCACTGGCTCAGCCACAGGGCCACTTCTGGAGCAGTCCCTGCCTTCTTCACTTTGGTAGCCCTTGACCCATGTTACAGCTCTTGCAGGAGGGTCCTTGCCTCCTCTCTGCCTCTTCTATCCTCTTTCTTCCTCGGACAGCTCCCCTCTGTGGCAGTCACTGCATTTGTGAGTATGAGCAAACTCCTAGTCAATGCCAAGACGTGGACCATCCTACCAGAGTCATAAACCGATCAATCTCCTCTTAGTAAGGGACAGGCCCTTCATTTGCATAGTATGCCATAGTCACTTCATTTGCTTAAATATACTGACCATCTATGCAAAATAGACTGATCACTGGCCAGGCAGATTGCAGCACAGATCCAGGAAAAAGCTATAAAAACTCATTGTTTAGAGCTTACTCAGAGAATGTCAATCAACCTGAACTCTCTGATGTAGGAAAACCAAGGCAAAGGCTTAGGGGAAAATTCTCTCAAGTAGTCTTTCCCAGCAAGCCCTGTTGTCTCAGTGATTAACGGGTTCAACTGCCAACCAAAGTCCATGATCTGAGGGTAGCAGCCAGGAATTACTTAACCTGAATGAAGGCCAAACATGATGGTGGGACAAGAGGAACGTAAAAGGAAATAGAGGAAAGAACCAGGAGGCAAAGGACATTTATAGAGGCCTAAATACAGGCATG